ATATTAGAATTTTTTTTTTGTAACTAAATGTTTAGTTTGAATGTGGGTTTAATTTACTGTAAGGTTTTAAAGTTAACATGTCACTTCCATGTGAAAAACGACTTTCTGCTGAAGATGTGTGCACTGAAGAAAAGCCAAAAAGACAAGAGTTGGTTTCAGGTGCTCACACAAGAAGGTTAACTGAAAAGGGAGAGCAGTACAGAGAAGCAGAGTTTGCAAAACAGATAAAGGAATTTCTTAAATATTATGCCTCTTGGAAACAAATAGCCAGAGAAGCCAGTAAGAAATGAAAGGGTTTCCGCTCTCAGGAGAATCTGGATGAAATAAATCAGCAAGTTCAAAACAGTCTTGAGAAGTTGAAACAGAATTATTAGTTTCTTCAACGCAATTCTTTAAATACTCCAGATATTGTACAGAAACTAGATGCCTGTACTATACTAACAAATGAGATTTATGATCTTGTAAGTGTTTAGAAGCGGGTATTATTGAAGAGAAATGTAATCATGAGGTTGAAAAGGAAAGGGTGCGAGAAGTCTTAAATGGAGATGAATATCAATCTGTTTTTGGAGAAAACTCTAATGAACGTTCTTCACGTATAAGTGGTTCATCAGTTACCAGCTCCAAAGTTTCTTAAGGGCGTGTAATGGCAGAAGCAGATCTAGCAGCAAAGAGAGACTGAAGCTCAACATGCGAAAGTCAGTAAGCTTGAATGTGAATGAAAATATAAGGAGCCCAGATTATGGCAGGTCTGAAGCAGAAGGAAGCTGAAGTGCTACAGCAGCTTGATGAGTAGAGCAAGTTATACGGATATTGAAGTTAAAATGGCCGCGGCTCGGGTTGGTGTTTATAGCAGACTTGGAGACGGTGTTTAAGGGGAAAATCTTGATTATAAGCCTGATGTTAACTCAGTGCAAACTTTAAAACGCCTAAGAAAGTCAGCTGCAAGGGCTGCAACATTTCTACAACCTCAGGTTTGCTCTGAGATTCCCTGCAGTAAACTTGGTTAAAGCCTTAACGAGCTCCTTGAGTTTAGGTCGCCTTCCTGTTCCTGTACCTGCAATATTCTCAGGAGACCCTTTAAGGTATCAATTTCAACCCCGCCACACCCCCCTTAGGAAATAAAGTAAAAAAACACGTTAGAGAAAT